AATGAAACAGAGGATATTTCGGTCATCTGAAAATTCTTCAGGTGTCCCAGAAATAATGATAATAGCTGTAAAAAAAATTTTGACTATATTTACTATCCGGGTGAAGTTTTTTCAGAAGTCTATAAAAAGTTCTACTGTATATGCATTTTATATATAAAATTTTTGGAAAAATAAAATTAAAAGCCGGGTTGCCGGGTCATTTTTCAAATTTTATGTTATGAGAAACAAAAAATTAACTTTGTATGGCCTAACTTTATTATATAGTAAAATTTTTAAATATTTAAGATTCTATTTTATTCTAAATTAAAAATTTTTATATAATTCTATTTCTACCACAAAGTATATAAATTATAACTAGAATCAATTTACACAGATTTATTTTTAATGCTATTCACTATTATATCAATAATAATAATTGAATAGATTTTATAATATATAAATACTAAAAAAATACTAAAGTTTTATTTTTATAGCACGTGGGTACTGGAAGAAGATCTATTGGCTAGATTACGTTTAAAAACAGCCAATAAACAAATTTCCCAGCAAGTGTTCTTAGCCTGACAATCGTGTGATAAAAGTACGTACGTACGCAATTAAAAAACTTCATTTTTGCTCAAAAGCTTAGAATGTATCATCCACCACGAGGCGGCGTTAGAGGCGGACGGGTAAATCGTGCAAGAGATTTTGTTTTTCTGATTTCTTGAAATTTAACTAATACTATTTTCATGCTGAATTATAAGGATCAATTCAACTGTAAGATTAATTTTGCCAATATATTTCATATTTTTAACATACGAACAGAATGTTAACCGATTTACTTCTGGCTCAATTTTGGACCAGAGGTAGATCAATTGTGAACAAATTTGGTATATATAACTAATTCTATTATTAAATTAATAGGGGAGTAAGTCATAGTGTAACTTTTCGATTTTTAAGCGCACTATATTTCTGGGAAAATATGAAGCCATGATTTTTTTTTAATAATTCAGGGATGTTAAAACTGACAAGCATAGAGAGAACTATTTAGGACATTCGCTTTTTGCTCCAGTAGGAAGGTAAAAACTATTATTCAAACTCAAATCAATCTTTACAAATTTAATTCGAATTAGATTCGGATTGGCTTATTTTTATTTATTTATTTATTTATTATACAGATGGCAAAAAGGTAATCGTTATAAATCTAAAACATCTTTATATCAATCTAAAATGTAAACTAATTATTTATTATTTTAGGCAAGGATCTCACATGGTATTCCAAGGATGGAAAAAGTGAGCAAGCATATATTGATGAAATCAATGCAATTAAAGATGCTGAGGCCGATGTTATGGCCGAATTCTTGTAACGAACAAATTTGTTAAATGCATTCTATATTGTTCTATATATATTACAAATTAATGCAAGATAATTGTAATTTGTTAGAGGTGCTGGTAAAAGAAAAAAAGTTACGGGGAATGTCACTCAGCAAGAACTAAGTAATGTTCTGAAAAGAGAACAAGAGGATGATGATGATGATGATGAAATTCTCAAAGAGGCAACTAAAGATGTTACAAAAGGGTTGGGATTTAAGAGGTTAGTTAAATTGTTTCTATAACTCCGGATGTTACATCTTTATTTATAATTTGTTTTTAATATTTAAGTTTCGGTCGACTGCATATTGATGAAATGATACCGGCCGATTCTGAGACAATTGAAAATGGAAGCGCGCTGAAAAATGATGAGCAAATAATACAAAGTGATAAAGACTATTCTATAAATACTTCTGCAGTAACATCTGATAATCTTACTGGTAAATCAGCTGTTTCTAAAAAACCGAAAAAGGAAAAAAAAAAGAAGAGAAAAAAACATAAAAAGGATTCTAGATCACCCTCCCCTGTTCGAAAGCGATATCGAGATTATAGAACTAGAGCTTAGAACCGGGTTATAGTAAACCGGGTCACCCGTGTCAAAACGGTTCAACCGGGTCAAAAATTTACAACTTGGGTCA